GTCCCCCAGCCACTTCTCTGACCACTCTGCCCTCACTCTGTAGGGTTTTTTTTTTCTTATATTGTAAATTATTCAGATCAGAGACTGAACTTGTATATTTCAGAAAGTGGATAATATAATGATGGCTAACAGTAATAAAAATAGTTGTTCTGTTTGAACATAGCCCACCTGCACAACTTCAGTAACAGCTCAGTGATGAGCTAATTCATTCCCATGCTGTGTATTTTCTGCATTTCCCATGTTGAAGCAGGTGAAGAAGGTGGCACAACTTAATTTGCTAAGCAGCTATCAATATAAATAAAATGGTGGCTTAAATAGTAGTGATCTTAAAAATGAGTTCCACTTTTTTAACTCAGTGTTCAGCTTAGTATGTAGCCCTCTGTTTGAAATTTGAATCACTTTTCAGTCTTTTTTTTTCTTTTTTCCTTGGGGCAATTTTATTTATTTGTTTGAAACAAAAGTCATTAGATTTCTTCCCTTTCACCTTGTTGTCCTTTAGTCTCCTGTAAGAGGGTGCGATTACCAAATGACTTTAGTTGCATCGTTGAATATAAATTGGCTGGAAATCTTATGGAAGATTAGGAAATCACTTTCTCATTTTAAATTTTTATTTTATTTTTGGAAATTGAATATTTTCTGGTTAAGTTTCTCCTCTGCAAAATGAAATAGCTATTTAGGCTGTTTGACAAACTTATTCAGTTTACCCATCTTTCATATACCCTACTGATATGTCTTAGAACAGATGTGGTTCTGTCTTTATTTTGGTGGGTTGTTATGATTTATTTCATGCTGACCATGCCTCCTTTATGAAAACCTGATTTTTGAAAAGTTAAATGTATTCACTGTGTTAGGTAAATATTGCTCTGACATTTGTAAGTTTGTAGTGAGGAATGCCTCTTTAAAGTCCCTTGAAGTCCTATGCAAGGTACCTTAAATATCATTACACTTCTTGAGCTGTGGAACAGTAAAGAAAGTTAAACCTTTTATTTTTCCCTTTGGAAGTTAATGATTTTTAAATGTACATTTTTTTTTTTTTTACCCTGCTGACATTGAAGGAAATGAACCTGTACATAAATGTCAAATTAGTTTTTAAGATTTAGCGCAACTTACTATATACAACAAGCAAAATTATGTTGTTATATCTGTGTATATGAATGGCAATTTCAGTTGGTGAAATCTCAGTTCGTTAGAGCAAGCAACAAAATGATTTTTTTCACTTTTTTTTCATTTTAATAGTACCTTATATTTAATTAACCAGGGACTTCTGAATTGTTAATCTGCTGTCTTTTAAGTTTAATTTGGCTTTGTGCAAATTTCCTCAAACAATATTAATGTCTCAAACTGTATTTTTGGGGTTTTTTTTCAATGGACCAGAGGCATGTAAATAGAAGCTCTCTGTTGTTTTTTAAGCAGGTGACTGGTTCTCACAAATTTTCTGTGCGTGTTTAACACAGGTAGAATTTAAACTAATCTTTGACAGAAACCTGAAACCAGAATATTAAATAATTTGCTGTTTAATTGTTTATTTTGTTGCATAAATTGTGCTCTGCAAAACTGAGTTTTGTTTTAAGATTTGGAAAACTCAACAAAATACAGAGGAAGAACTCATAGAAACAGAAAATTAGGGTTGGAAGAGACTTCAGGAGGTCCTCTAGTCCCAAACTCCTTCTCAAAGCAGGATCATCCCAACTAGATCATCTCAGCCATGGATTTGTCTACCCAGGTCTTAACCTCTAGGGATGGAGATTCCACAACCTCTCTGCCTGTCCCAGTGGTTTACTACCCTCCTAGTGAAAGAGTTTTTCATAATATCTAACCTAAATTTCCCTTGCTGCAACTTTGTCATCTGCCACCACTGAGAGAAGTCTAGCTTCATCCTCTTTGTAACCACCCCTCAAGTAAGTGAAGGCTACTATTAAATCCCCTCTCAGTCTTCTGATACTAAGTGCTTGGTCTTTCTATAATATTTCACAAATCCTTTTGTTTAGAAACTACACTCTGTAGGGGGAATTTCATATTATTTACTCTGAAGATAGGTGATCTATTTCTATTCATGCATTGAACTCTTGAAACAGAAATTTCTGGATTATGGAAAAAAGTGAATAATTACAGTATGGAATATATTTGGTAAAAAGAAAGTGCTCCCAGATCTCAATATGTTCACAATGACTAAATAAAATTATAAATGATGTTGTATCAGAAAACAAAAACAAATCTTATCTTTGTTACAGAGACCTTATTAAGAAGCTACTTGTGGTTGACAGGACAAGAAGATTAGGAAATATGAAGGTTAGTATAAAATGTGTTGTCATGCAATGCAAAGTTCAACATTGGAAAAAATTACTACTTGCAAAAACTTGTGATTCAACATTTAGCACTAAGTTTCTTTATTTTGTATATGTAGATTTTGAGACCTACATGGTTTTTTTATTACTTAAGATATGAAGAATATTGGTAGTGTTTTCTGTTCTGAGAATCTTTCACTTGCTTGTACTAGCTGTACGAATGTTATAGTCAATTTTGTCTTAAACCTAGAAAAGTACCTGTGTAATTTCACTAAATTACTACTAATGTGGCTGTTGTACTTCAAAGTCTTACTTCCAGTCTGAATGCAAAAGAAGAAAAGAAGTGTGTGTGTATGCTGTGTCCACCCACAGTAGTAATGTTGCCATATGGCAGTCTTTTCAGTTGTACTTCTTTGTCTAAAATTCTGTTACTTTGCCCAATTTTAATGTAACATTTTTCCAGGGAAACAACTTCATCCTCTTCTCTTGTACCTAGAAGAACAGAGATCATCCTAAATTGCTAAAATATGTTAATGTTGTTAAGAATTGGAAGAATTGCATGTGCCTCTTGAGAGAGGTTCTTTCTTGGAAGTGAAGACCATCTGTGTTTTAGTTTAAATTGGTTCTCTTATGATTTTGTGGCACCCCACAGGCAAAGGAAGTGACATGAATTCATGATAGTGGTAAAATTGTAAGCAATAGATCCCAAATCCCTCATTGTTCCTTGACAACAGGATTTGGATAATGTCATGTCCAGAGGAGGTGAATGTATAGTTTGTCTGATGAGGAGGTGTGTATTCACATTAGAAAGCACACTCTGTATGCATAATGCTAGGAAAAAAACGTGTCTGAGCCAACAGCTTAAACCTATTTTGTGCTCTATTCTTAGATACTGAGATGAACTTCATCTTTCTGTACGTGGTTTCTGTATTTTTTGTAGTAATTTCACTGGAAACAGTACAAAAGTTCATCCCAAGATGAAGTACAAAAATATTTCAGAGTAGACTTGCTTAGAAGTATGGGTAACAGGGGAGAAAATAACAAATATCTTTTAACAGCAGTGTATGTAGAAAGAATCACAGTGTAGACTATACTAATCATTAAATTAAGTTTTTATAAAAAATATTTTACCAATTACTTAATGTTCCTTGAATTCTGTCTTACAATATTTTGTTTTACTAACTTAAATCTTGTAATAATGAAACAAACGGCTTATTTTCAGTTGGGCAACTTTGTCACCCTTATGTTGACTAGTATTTTAGTTGGCAAGTGGTCTTAAAGATTTCACTTTTAAGGTATTTGTCAACATTAGAATAGCAGATTGGTGCTACGTTTTATTTCTTCTTTTTTTTTTTTAAACTGAAAATGTGATATTGCTACTGATTCCGTATCTGTTGTTTTCCTGTCACTTATGTGGCATATGGCAGAAATGTCATGAAAAGAAACTGATTATTAAAGTCTTATAAATCTGATATAGGTATATGAATATCAGCCTCCTTTGAAATATTAAGGTAATTCCTTGTTCACATCAGGTCTGATATTTATTTGGCTCTATCTTCCATTTTTATTAACTGCACTGAAGTATGAAGTTAGTAAAGAACAGATTCCATTGGTATTTTGTGGCTTCATAATCACAAAGAACATATGGGTTGACTTATGAATTAAACTATAATTTGAAGGCTTAATAGTACAGTTTCTTTTTCCTTCTTAAGAATTGCTGCATATGATATTTGATTATTTTAAAATAATAAGTTACATTTATACCTTAAACATATGAGGTTGCTGTAGCAAGCAGCCATTTTTGGCATATTTAAGGCTAAGCAATGTCACCGGTCAAAAAAAATAATGATTTGGGAGAGTACTGACTGAAATAAAAATATAGCATTGAAAATCTAATATTAAAATGTATTAAAACTATTTTGAATTCTAACTAGCAATATACTGTGCAGCTTTGTATTGTAACCCTTATGCATTAGTGTAAAAGACTCCTTTCAGCTTGCCACCGTGCATTCTGCTGGTGAAGTAGGATTCTTTTGAGTAACAGCATTTTGGGGGTCTACACAGGTACTCTGCACTTGTGCACATTCCTGTGGGGCTATGCGAAGGCCAACGTGTTTGCAGCCCTCCTCTGTTTCCTTTTTTGTATATTTGGCAGCCAAATTAAATCTCAGGAGTATCTGACCTGCTGCTGCTTAGTATTTGCTAAAGCCTTTTATGGCTTTTCTACAAACTTCACAATGCCCTTGTTGTTGATTTATATCTTTATCTTATCTACCCATCTGGAACCAAGTATTAGTGGTGAGCCTTGCTTCTGTGACATATCAGACTTAAGGCTTGCAGTGGGCTAGTCCTGTCAAAAGGTAGACTCCATTGATGACGGTCTTGCCCAAGAATTGCATAAAGAGAGGAGATGTTCTAGTAGAGAATGACAAGCAGACTGAACATAAGTCACTGTGCTAAAAACTCTGTATGCTGGAACAGTCCTTGAAAGCCTTATCCTATCCTGAGGAGACTAATTGAAGGATTTTCCTAGTAGATAAGCTAGTATCATTTGAATGTTCTGTGCAGAAGAATAGCACTCATAAAAGACAGTCTTGGCACAGATGCCCTCAGTCCCTTCTATAGCATCAAAACTCCTGTGTCAGACTCAACCACCAAGAGAGGCCACTCCAGCATACAGGCAGAAACTTTAGACAGAGTTGAATGTCCTCACCTAGGGACAGATAATGTGAAGCATTGTTGGATGTAACCCAACCTTGTTTGATTTAAGGGCTGGTCCTATGGCACAGAGTCCCTCCAGGCTGCAGGCCCAACTCTGACAATTGATCCATTGATATCTATTCCCATCATAGTCATAAGCCAAGAGAGAACCAGGACAGTCATTTGTGCTGAAGTCCCTGACAATATCAGTAGAGACAATGGTGCCATTAGAGCTCAGGACATTAGTTAAAGAAAATTAAATAAATATACCAACCAAATTACTGCTCTTGAGAAAAAATGCCGACAATTTAGTTTCAGTTTATGTATTCAATAAAAAGGTTATTTAGCATAAAAATGACCATTTTCTCCAAAGAACAGGGATTTTGCATTTAGAATAAAACAAAAAAAAAAAATTCAAAAGTGCATATTTAAAAACACTGCATTTAAAAGACCATTTTAAGGGCAGTTCTAAACCAGAAGACTAGTCTATTAGAAAATCAGCCATCTGGTTTCTTCCTCCTAATGGAAAACCATGGCCATCTGTTGAAGTGCATTAGCAAAACTACAGTGATGTACATGACATGTGTTGTGCTTTTCAGAAAAAAGCAATCTCTTTTATCCAAAAAGGCATGAGAGTGCCTAACACGACATCTAATAGTAATAACAAAAAGTGGTATGCTATAGTCATAAAGAAATGCTTTTAACTTAAAAATAATTTAAGCCATGTTTGGCATCATATTTTCCAAGAATGTGAAGTTAGACTAGAGTGATAAACAAGTTATACAGTGTTCATGCTCTGAAAATAAAGACACAACTGCCAGTAATGTCTCTAAGTAGAAACAAACTGGAATATTGCCAGAGACCCAAAGAATGATGAAAACATCTGATACAGTCTTTGAGCTATGATGAAGGTAAAACATAATGGAAGTGAAGTACTTAGAGAGAGTTTTCTTAAATCAGACATCACTGAGAAATATATTTGTTCTAATAGTAAAAGATGGAAGACATTAGATTTGTAAAGCATTTTTGAAGACTTGCATTCCTCTGGTCTTTAGGGAAGAACGAAAAAACTGTTAAGATCATCAAGTACTATATATTTATAGCATGAATTTTAATGACCTGAATATAAGGCATGGTAGAAAACTTTGTGTCAATACCTGCGTGTAGGAAATAATAACATGTTTTTTAATTTTAGTGTCAATCAAAGAATGAAGATTTGAAACCACAGATGCAGCTTTTTTGATTTAAAAATGTGTACCTATAAGGACTAGCAGCTTAAAACTTAATACATGTTGGTCACATCTATATGTTGCCCTTTGGCAACATAGCAACATACTACATCAGCCGTATAGCGCACTACAGTGACATAGCGATCACGTGGGTCTACACGTAATCGCCAGCTACGTTGCCATACCTGTGCACTCCCCCAGTATAGCGTGCTGCTATGGCAACTTAGTGGCAAAATCTAAACATGTGTTGTGTGCACGGCACAGTAACCACCCGTACTGTACTGTGCTTTAGTACTTCCAGAAGGAAGTACTAAAGTACAGCACTGTAGCAACGGTTCTGTACAGTGACATGTAGACACGCCTATTGTCAATACTAAATATCTGCTTTTGCCACTGCTAGGAATAAGTTGGGGACTGACTGGCTTAGAGGGCAAAAGTAACACTGCAAATGACCTGTCCAAATGTAATAAATTTCTTTATTAGGATATAAAATATACATATGTATTTTATATATGTTACAAGATAGAATTCAAACAGCACTCATTGGGAAGTAAAATAACTAGAGCTGTGCTTTTGGCTTCAAGAAAACCTTGTTTTGGTTGACCTGAAACAGAAGTTTTTTTTTATTTTTGGAGAATTGGGAAAAAAAAAAATCACTTTCGTTCAAGTAATGTTTGACTCTGAGGCATTTCACTATTTCTGGCCTACTGAATATTCATCTTTGCATCAGTAACTGAATAGCTTCAGCAGAAGAGATTGAAAAGGGCTCGTTGCAGAGTATCATAAGCTCAGTAGCCTAGGGACTCTCCTAGGAGGTAGGATTCAAAATCAGATGCTGCTGTCCCTACAGCTTCATTCATTTGAAGAATATAAAGTTGAATGAATGAACCTATCCTAGTGGAGTGGACTTAATGCATACAAGCTTCATGTAACATCTTTAATGCCTCACTTTGGGCTTTGATCAGTAGGAAACAAGGTAATAGCAAAAATATCTTTGTCTGTACTACTGGAATATGGATTACTGAGGAAACTCATAATGGTTTTTATACTGTTTCAAGAGAGAGAAATCTGTCAGCAAGATTATTGTGCAATTTAAAGAACGTTTTGAAGTGTTTCTTCCCCCCCTACTTCTTTTATATTAGGGTAGGTAAGCTACAGGTTCTCCATTCATCCTCCTGCCCAAGTTTTTAAAGATGATCCATTTTACAGAAGTGGATGAAAATAATTCTTCTCTTCAAGATTATTCCTGGATCTTACCTAGTTAGACTGGTACTCTTCATTCTAAAACCCAAAGGGAAGAGATTATTTTCAGTTCTGCTAAATCAGATATTCATCTGTCGGGGTAGAAAACACATCACAGACCTATTTATGCAAATATTTTTTGTTAGTCTTCAGAATCATCCAAATCGGAGGCCACCTTTTTGTTTCAACAACTGCGGAAACATTTGGCATCTCAGATTTATTGATTAAGGACTGTCATCAAAAGATGCTACTCCAGATGTGTTCAAGATTTTCCACCTCTACTTAAAAACATTACTTCTGTATGCTCATATTTCAAGAACAGAAAGCCACAGTTTCAAACTCTAACCAACACGTCTTTGACACAGGACTAATATTATTTTTTCCTCAGATCAGTTGTCCTTAGAGCAGTTTATTTCAATGTAAAGAAACAGTCCACAAAGGCGGATCTAACTTTATTGGTCATGCTGCCTGTTTGCGGTCATCAGCCTCAGCAATTCAAGAATAGAATAGTACAGTGGTTCTCAAACTCTGATAGACTGTGCACCACCAATTTAAAATAATACAATGTTAAGTTCCACCAGCAAATTTGCGATATGAAATAATTACAATAAATCTGTTAACTTGTACCACTGACAGGTTGTCTGCAAAGCACTGGTTGTGCCCATACCACAGATTGGGAAATGCTGGAATATATAGTAGATTCTTGGGTGACTGCAGTAGATTTACAGCAAAAAAAATCTTTCATTTTATCTCTGCCACTAACAGTAATCTGTGTTTGTCCTCAAAACCTACATCTCTAGAAAATAATTCCATATTTTCGCAACAGTTTGGTTCTGATAATGGCCAAGGATATCCTAAAGGAAAAGTTTTAAATCATCAAATGTTGCGTTTTTTTAAAAATCTGGGACTTGTTATGAGCTCAGTCATATGCTCGCTGACTTCACACAGACCTTCAGAGTTTTTCTTGAACTTGAGAGAGCTTTTCTCTATGCAAAGCATGCACTCAAAGTAAAATTAGTAGTCCAGTTGTTTCAGGTTGTCATCCCTTTCTCCTTCCTCTTTACATGAGGTGACTCCCTGGGCTATTTCCCAGGACAAAGTCTCTAGCTGTTTCTCGTGGATGTTGCATCCGGTTAAACCTGGGATTTGGAACTGCAGTTTTTCTTTTGTCTTCTAGGTATGCACTCCTAACTTGAGTCACAGTAAAGACATTTGTCTCTTTGGAGTGTGTTTTAGTGGTATTTTTAAAGACTTGCATAGAAAGAGTAAGGGGAATGACTGTCAACCAGCAGGGAAGAGTATTGTAAAGATTGCCTTAAAATGGAATTTCAAGACAGATCCTTGGTACAGATCCAGACATACTACTTGGTACTCCTTAGGACGTGTACAGTCTTCTCCCCCTGATGTTTTCCAATGTTCAGATGTGAATAACAAACATGAATCCCTTTTTGCCTCTTGAAAGAATACAGGTTTTTTAAAATCAATTTGGAACCAAGGTTCTACCTCCTCAGTGAGCATGCTTACCACCACAGATATGTTTACCCTTTCTCTCTTCCTCTCTTCTTTGCCGTGTGACAGCAGGAGCAATTAATAATACTCTTAGCATGATTGGTTAGCGATGTTATCTGGGAGGTAAATAACAATGGTTAAACTCCCTGAGATTCAGAGTAGGATTTTTTTTTTTTTTAATTAAGGTCGTCCTTCCACTCAGAGTACCTTAACCACTGGATTATTGATACAGTCTTGCACATAATCAGCAAATGTGTGTATAGCTAATGCGATGTGTATTATACATAATCAGGAGAAATAAAAACCCAACTCATGGGTTTCATGTGCATGTTGTTTCTTAAATACTCATATATTTTTTTTCTTTTTAAAGAATGGTGCAGACGATGTAAAAAGACACCGGTGGTTCAGATCAATAGACTGGGATGCTGTACCTCAGAGAAAACTAAAGGTATGTTTAGCCCCAGAAATTACGTACAGATTTTGATCATGGCCCGTGGTAGATGTTAAAACAGTGAAGGGGTTGGGATCTGAGGAATTTAAAGCTCCAGCTGAAACGCAACACATTGTGCAATGTTTAGATGGGTCATGACATTTCTCAGATCCCAAACCCACCATTATTTTAACAACTACTAGAGGCCATGATCAAACCCATGTTTTTCCTTTCCTAAATCCCTTCTCAAAAATCACCTCTTCTGTGTAGTAAACTGACTCTTAACAGTACATGGTTGGTGAGTTGTAATTTACTATTCCTATACACAACCTATTCATTGTCATCTTGTCTTCTTTTCATCCTGTTTTCATTTCCTAAGCTGCTCCTGTATCTTATCATTATTATATGTCTTTGTTTCAGACCATAAAGTCCCTGGGTCAAGAATTGTTGCTATTATATCTACAATAAGGATACCAGCTTAGTTATTTTTTTCTAGATGTTACTATAACCTAAACATTTTAATAAGATGATGATGGCAAATGATTACTTTGATAACTACTGATGTATGTTAACGTTTTTTGTTTTCAACTTTTTGATAAGCCTCCTATAGTGCCGAAGGTATCCAATGATGGGGATACATCCAATTTTGAAGCTTATCCTGAAGATGACTGGAACAAAACCCCACCTGTACCCCCTAAGGATCGAGAAATTTTCAAAAACTTCTGAATGTGGTAGTCACGCTTTTTCAGGTATGTGGAATTTATCACGGTCAGCAGTTGCAGTTCAGATATCGTGTACATTTGAAATTCAGTAGGAAGTGTCAAAGTACCATGTTTACCTGAATCCAAGGTGACCCCGAATTTAAGACAACCCCCACCTTGCTGCTTGTCCCCACCCCACTTAACATTCCCTGCCTTGTGCCTGTCCCCCACCCCTGCATCTCTGCCCCACCCGCACATCTCTGCCCCCTGTCATCTTTCCCTTTTCTATCCCTTCTCCCCATTTTTAATGGGGAAAAACACCTTGTCTTGGAATTGAGTAAATATGGTAAGTGAGAGCACTACAGTACTACCTTTTTGCAAATGCTCTTGTATGTCATTATTGCTATAATATCATGAAATCTATCCTTACACTTTGTTAAGCAAATTGTAGCTGGTTGGCATGAGATTGCAGGGGAGAATCACTATGCAGAGATGTGAGCCAAGGTAAAGTAAAAGTAGTTAGCAAGATCAACCTGCAGCACAGGTGTAGCCAACCTGCAGCACAGATGCTATGCCACAGGTGGCATGGGCAGCATCTGTGTGGGACTTGGCAGTTGAGGAAAGAACAGGCAACACAGTGGTATATAGGGCAGGAAGCAGAAAATAACATCAGATCAGGCGAGGAGTGCAGGGCAGTAACCTGAAAGCAGAGCAGCATATTGGGTAAGGGAAAGCTATCAGAGGAGGCTTTGTGGCACATCTGCCAAAAAGGTTGACCATTACTGAACTAGGCATTGTGCAGTTGCAGAAACAATTTACAGCAACAACTTGTTATGAACATAAGGATTATCTTCAGGTCAAATTAACATAGCTCCGTCCTTCAGTCTGGAGGCAGCAGTTGAAAAAGGCAGATGGTAAACAGATTAGTCTCATGCAAATGTGCTTGACAAGCTGTATATAATCTCTTTGGAGGCCAAATCTGGCCCTCAGGGCATAGGTTGCCAACCCCTACTTTTGAGCATTAAAATTGTGATCCTAATGGTGCTTTCTGTGGGCCTTGAGCTTTAAAATTATGAACTATAATATTTTTATTGTATGAGACAGGGTGGAAGGGAAAGATACATTTAACAAAACATTAAATTTTCTGTTGTGTATGTCATTTGGTCTCGAGTTTTTCTTAATGAGAGTTTTTTTCAGTAATGAATGAAAACAAGACAAGAAGACCTGAGTCCACGTGTGTTTGTATTGTCAGAAGGTTTTTGTTCTTTGTTTTGTTTTGTCTTGTTTTGTTTTAACTGGGACTTAACTTAGGACTAATTTATTTATTTGTTTATTGTAATAGAAACTGGAAGAAAAATTGAAGCGGTCTGAGCAAGTTCGCAAAAAACAACTGAGTATCTAAATGAAGGCAATCTTTGATGTAGATGAGTGTTACCACAATTCTCCATGAACATTGGTAGATTAAATATTTACACAATTCAAGGACAGACAAGACTCTCTTTTTCCTGTGTAGATTTGGCATTAGTTTAGTAGATTATAATGCTGATAGTCTACTCTGTAGTAGATTCATTAAAATTGTATGTTGCATATTTTAAATATTATGGTTTAGTTCCTGCTATGCCCAGATCCTTTTTGCATAGTTATCTCATAGACTTAATTTTATAAGTTTATACTAAACTTGTGTAATTAAAAGCACAAATTAGTATATATGTATATAATGAATACATACAACTAAAGCACAGGAATGTGCAAAGATGTAAATTTTTGTATTTTGCAGAGTCTATGATTTTTATTTTTCAAATAATGTTTTTCAAGAAGTTCTCTGAAGGTAAAAAATCTTTAAAAGGATAAATAAGTTTTTCATCAACTTATATACATTTTATAATTCTTTGTAAAAATAAAAGTAATTATTAAGTTTAAAAAAGATTTGTACCTAAAATGTCCAATGCCTCACATTTGCAACCATAGTACTTGAAAGCAGAAAGAAAAGGGGCAGGTTTTATTCTTCCTTTAAGAAACACCTTAATGACTTATTTATAAATATTTGTTCTGTTACGATGATGTGATTTTACACACAAGAATATTCAGTTTCTACACACTGTGTATAATGGGATTCCCTTAGATGTGAAATCACTGTAAAGCATAACAAGGACTGCATACTGCTGATAAAGAGCAGGTGTAAGTACTCTGTCATTCTGCATCACCCAGTTTCAGTTTTTGTAGGAGAGTGGGTGTCTTTAAAGCCAACATTTAAAAAAAAAAAAAAAAAAAAAAAGTGTAATCCAAAGAATGTCACCAGCAGTAGAGCAGTTGGACTGTGTTAGTAAAGATTACTTAATACATCCTAATAAATTTTATTTATGAAACCATAAACATTGTTATTGATTAGTTATGCTGCAAAATATGGAATGATCTTTGGATATTTTCCGCAAAAGTAGTGGAATTTCCTGACCTATCTGGAAGCAATTTTCCTGCAGTAGCTCTGCATTTTTTTACAATTTGCAGGCTCCCCTTAGCAACTGAAATTGTCCCAGGATCAGAGCACAGTCAATGACAGGCACACTTTGAAATTCTGTTTGTTACAGACTTCAGTGGGAGCTATTAAATATTCAGCATTCTTGAAAATCAGTCAAATGCCTAAATATGGATTTTGGAGCCTAATTTTATGCTTCTTATTCTGAAAAATTTACACTAAACTAACTGGGAACCTTGTCTGCAGGCCTTCACTGTTAGGAGGTCTGTGCATGCCAGATCGGATTTAAGGTATAGACGCAGGGTTTGAATTGCATTTTGACTCTTGTGGGGGGTCTGCAAAAAAATTAACCCTGTTCATTGGAAGGAGCAATCTGATTGGAGACCTCCCCCCCAGGTTATGATTTTCAAGTCTTACAGAGGGCTCTCATCTTTAATGGTCTTGGGTTGGGGAGCTCAGCTCCCCACCTCAGCCCATCAAGCTCCCCTGTAATTTGCACCCTGTATAGAAGTGATCTGTTTTTAAATTATACTAGCCAGGTTCTGTGTGGACCACACCAATGTCTACATGGAGTTCACAGTACTTAAATGTTTGTAGTAATGCTTCATTTTTAAGTAGCACCAAATACTAGCAGGCAGGTATGTGTGTGTATGTATGTACATATACACTTGAAAGCAGATTTGTATCAAATTTCAGGGAAATCTTTTTTTTTTTCTCGTGTTCTACATTGTGGTATTTCTCATAACATAAGGAAATTGATTTTGAAGTGTCTAGATTTCAAAAAGAAAAAGCATGCTTCCAATAATTGTGTTTAGATAATTTTCTTAGTGAAAATGATGGTATTTAGACCAAAAGTATTTTTTAAAGGCACAGCAGCTCACTGGAGTCTTACTATAATGGCTCATTAGTCATTACAGAGGAGAAGATTATTAAAGCAGATGATGTGGATTATTCCTCGCAAAGCTATGTTTCTCAGTCATAACCTGAATTGCCCGCAGAAGTGTAGTCCAAGGACAGGTAGTTGTTCTAAACTGTGACCTGAATGCAATATTCAAATGTTCACTTGGCTCATAACTCCAGTTAGTAAAATACATTTTGCTTCTGGCTTCAGTCAGATTTAAGTCATGAGTCTCCAACTATATAAGCTACCGCTGTCTTTGTCAGTTAGCTCTAAACAGCTCACAAGTACAGGTAGCTAGTGTCTTTATTCTGTCTAAATAGTCCAATATCACATGCCACATTCAACTTTACTGGAAAATTAGATCACTGTTCATATGCCAGATGTATAGGTGTTGCTGACTGCATAACTCTTTTTGCAGAAATACAAACAATGAGCATGTATCTGGGTCACTATAAGAAGGCAGCTTAATTGCATGCAAGTGCCACAATTTGATGGTTATTAGTCTGCTAGGTGCCTTGGGGCCTACATTATTTTCATTGTGCAGTGGTCATTGAGCAGTTTTGTTGCATAAACGTTATGCAATGTTCATGGCTTGACACTCAAAGGGCATAGTATCCAGAGTGGGGAAAAAGTTGCATGTTCACTTGTGCTGCCAGTATTTACCAGCTAGAGAAGCTAAGAGAGCTACTGCCAAAGGCAGATCTGTGGGCAGTGAGGGCAGTCCAGTCACATCCCCTTTGGCTGTATGGCACATGTGCAGTGAGCTCTCAGATCTCATCAGCTTGTCAGTGCGATTCCAGAAACTAGGGGTGAATGCCACCACCACTCTCCCTCTGCCCCCAGCACAGAGCCAGGGTCACCTCGGGCTGTATGAGGGCAGGGGCATTCTCCTGAAGGTTGATCGGTCCTAGGCATCTATGGGACAGTTTCAGCCCTGTCATCTCTTCCCCATGCCCCTTTGCACAGCAACAGACCTGGCTAGAAGCCAGAACTGCAAACACAGTCCTGGTTTGCCCGTAGGGGTGGAGGCAGAAAGCATGCCCTGTGCCTATTCTGGGCTGTGTTCATAAACCCCAGTTGCCGCTCTGGGACCAGTCAGGGTCCCAGTACAGCAGCTGAGACTGGGAGCACAGCTTCACCTTGCCTGCAGAGTGGGCAGGAGCAGGTAGTAGTGCACTGTGGGATACTGGAGGACCCAGCCAAGCCCTTTCATTGTGTAACATGCCACATGTTCAGATTAGTGTGTGATACAAATGAGTCACAAAGATGCTCCACATTTAATGAGTAACATATTTGAGGTTGGTTCATCATGTTTGCAACTGGTTTGCCATTTTTATTGCATAGTAATTTGCTTGAACACATGGCATGTTACAGCTTATCAGGCTTTACACATTAATCATGCGATAATGTCTGACAGGGACCCAAGTGTCACATCAAATATTGTGTAGAAAGTGGCAATAAATAAAATTGATGCAGAACAGGTAGAAAGAGTCAACATTTAACTTGGTAAAAATACTGGTCTTTGCAAAATGTGTTTTGCACATTGTATTTATATGCAGGAAGTTAGTTATTCTCCCAGTTCAAACAGGGAGACACAAGTGCATAAAACACAGCTTGTATTTTGTATGAAATGCAGTCTACTTTCTAAAATGTAAGCTTACAGTATTTTATGGAATCTGAGTACTACAAAACCAATTTCTTATTACAAAATGTACATATTGCAACAATACATGTGCAGAATTTCCAGAATTCTCTTTGCAGATATAAAACTGAACTTTTCAAGGCCTCATTTACTTCTCTAAGCTAGAAGAGGGGAATAACATTATCCTTGAATTTTTTTTTTGTGCATGTCACAGTGGTGGTAATAGGTCTTGAATTCTTTCACACTAGGAGTTAGATTTTTGTGTATAAACTTATCCATTGCTGGCAGTGGATGTACTGAAACTCTGTGCGCCAGAATACAGTAAAAAACAAAATCTAATCAAACAGCTAAATTAAACCAGTAGGTTGAATGTACATTCTCTTTGGAGCTGTGTAGGCATATAGCTCAACTACTGATCTTTCTTTAGTTAGCATAAACTAATTATCTCTTTACAGGCTTTCTAGTATAAAACTACTCTTCCATTTTGATAATTTATATTCTTTAACAATAAAACATCTTCATAACGTTATTTAAATAAAAATCCCTTTTCTTCTAATTGAGAGCAGCTATTTTCTGTACAATCTCAGATTTAATGGACGGCGTAACTGCCTACCCATCTTATTTATTTGCAAAAGCAGGTCAGTTTTATTTTAGTTCTTCACTGTTCGGATTTCACTGTACTCAGTTCAGTTGTATGTAAATGCTAAATCAAGAGTTCCCAAACACTTTCTGCACCAAGGACTCCAGTTTCTACATAAAATTGTAATGCTATTCATTTTCTATGAGATTAAAGTGTTGTGTTCTCTGAATTTCTTTTTATAATGGGTGCTTTTTGTTTATATGCATCTTTGGCAAAGAAACAAGTGCTGTTTTCCCACAAACGTGTATGTCTTGCATCTATCTTCAGCTTCAATGAAAAGGAATGTTAACCATTAAAAATGATTTCATTTATATTTAAACTGACCAATATAAGGTTTTAAGTGGGGGGTAACTGTTGTAAACTCAATTGCCTTGTAACCAAATAATAATAAAAATGCTTCATGATTTAAATGGAGAACAAGCTGTAGATTTTCCTGTAAATTAGCTGGATCAATGGATATTTGTGCTACTGAGCTTGAACTCATGTGATCTTCCACTGTAGAAAAATCATTGATCAAAATATAGATTCTAAACAATATTAAAATGGATGAACAGGGATTCTGCAGATTTTGAAAGCATTTAAGATAATGGCTGCTTCTCAGCCCATCTGCTTGCCATTCAAAAGTTGTGATGCAGTGCTTCCTATACTCTAGAATTATTTTTTAGCTTTCAAGGATTTTTAGCATGATTCTTTTTGTACTGTACTGTGTACAGACTTTCCATTTTTGCACTTTTCTATGGCAAACTCTGACTGCTTTACAAATACTCGGTTGTATAGCAAGTAGTGGTAGTTGCAGCAGGCATCAGTGTACTACTAAACCAATTTGAACTGCTAGATTTCCAAGATTAACTTTAGACTAATGTTGTATGTTGTTGGTTGTTTGTCCAATCTCACGTATATATGTACTGTTCAAAGTCATGTCAGCCCTCATTGCACAATGAAAATCACTGTGATTTGTACATAAACTCTAGTAAGATTTTACTGCTGTTTAATTTATGTAATATGTGTCAATTCTTTATTCGTTTAATAAAACATTTTATCTTTTAAAATGTCTAAATCTAGTTTGCTTCTGTTTGTTGTGGAGAGAGCATTTCTGCGTCAGTCTATAAAATTGCAATATTTATTTTTAAACAGCTGTCCCTTTTGAAAAAAGAGTTAAGGCTATCTAGTTCAATGCATGAGTTTTAAAGAACTTTTCAGAAACTACTGGCTTCAGAAGGTATTGGAGAACAAAAATTATCCAATTCTTGTTTATTGAGGCGTCTCAGCAGTATTGAAAAATGTAATTGGCAGAATTCTCATTAAGCTTTTAAACATTTGGTCCCAATCTTGATCACTGGGTTCATGATTTAATGATCTGTCTTTCCCGTTTCATTTCATACTGTTTGATTTATTATAGTGTCAAAACATATGTATTGCATTAAGTGCATATAACTAAATCTTTATTCTCTGTTTAGGATCCTCAAAAATATATGTTTAATATA